GACCGGTGTGAGGTGGTACCTCATGGTGGTTTTGATCTGCATTTCTCTAATGGCTAGTGATGCTGAGCATCCTTTCAAATGCCTCTGGGCCCTCTGTATCTTCTCCTTAGAAAAGCATCTTTATTTTTAAATGCAGATTTTATTTTTTTAAATGTCAAAATCCATTATAATATACTAAAAAATTTAAATCTGTTATAAAATCTCATCACATAAACAACATGACACCAGCACAAAAACAATTAGGTAGATCAATGAAATACAATGAACATTCTATTATAGAACATATATATCTGTTAGAACATATATATCTAACACTGTATTTTATGATTTAATATTTCAAATCATTCAATGGGGGAAAAAAGGCTTATTCCACAAATAAGGTGCATGGACCACTATTACTTGAAATAAAACAAATATAGAGCCCTATTACATACATTATACAAAATATTCAGGTGAGTTAAAAATCAATATGTAAAATCTAAGGAGTTTTAGGAGAAAATACAAACTAATATTTTTCTTACCCTGAAGTAACATATTCAAACCCAGAAGCTATAAAGTAAAATATTGACAATATGACTATATTAAACATTTAAGACTACACAGTAATATACATATAAAAAAAGTTAAAGGACAAATAACAGAATAGGAAAGTATTTGCAACACATCTAAAAAAGGGTTGGTAGTTCTTCGGGGGTTTTTTAGTGAAAAAAATTCTATAAACATTTAATCCAAAAAATGGATAAAGAATACCAAAAAGTCATTTAAAGCTTTTTAAAAATAATAGAAATAGGCAAGAAATATAGAATAACAGGTTTAGTTTCAACAGGTTATAAAGTAACAAAATAACACATTATCAAATCAGATTAATAAGTATTAAAAATATTGGTAGTATCAAGTATTGGTGACTGTGGAAGGAACTGGGTATTCACAGACTCCTGTTCTTCATCTTCCTAAAGCAGTCTCTTTAGCATATTTTGCAATGCTGGTGTGGTGGAGGTGTATTCTTACAGCCTTCTTTTGTCTGGGAAGCTCCTCATTTCACCTTCCATTTTAATTGAGAGCCTTGCTGGGTAGAGCAGTCTTGGTTGCAGGCCTTTGCTTTTCATGGCTTGGAATATTTCTTGCCACTCCCTTCTGGCTTGCAGTGTTTCTGTTGAGAAGTCAGATGCTAGCCATATCGGGGCTCCCTTATATGTTACTACCTCTTTCTCCCTTGGTGACTTTAGAATTCTCTGTCTTTGATATTTACCATTTAAATTACGATGTGTCTTGCAGTGGGCCTCATTGAGTTCCTCTTGAATGGGACCCTCTGTGCTTCCAGGATTTGTGTGACTTTCTCTCTTCACCAATTAGGGAAGTTTTCCATCATTAGTTTTTCAAACAAGTTCTCTATCCCTTCCTTCTCCTCTTCTTCTTCAGATATCCCTATTATACAGATATTACACTTCACGTTGTCCTGCATTTCCCTCAATGCCTCTTCATTCCTTTCAAGTCTTTTATTTTTCATTTTCTTGCTCTTTCTGGGACCTTTTCTCTACCTTATCCTCAAGCTCATTGATTCATTCCTCTGCTGCTTCTGTCCTGCTTTTGATTCCTTCTGCTATGTCCTTCAATTTAGAAATTGTATTCTTCATTTCCTTTTGTCTCTTATTGATAGTTTCTAATGTCCTTTTTCATGTTGATACAGTTTGCAGTAAGTTCCTCATAGTTTCCCTGTAGTTTTTTGTAATTCTCTTTGAGCTCAGTGAGCTCATCGAACTTCCTTAGAACCGTTGTTTGGGACTCAGTATCTAGGGCAAGTTTACTTGCCTCTATTTCATTTAGTTCTTTTTGTGAGGATTCCTCCTTTCCCTTCAACTGAGGGGTGTTTTTTGTCTTCCCATTATTTGTGAGACTCTTCTTTTTTGCTTCTGCTTAAATTGATCTGCCTTGATTTCCTGACTTTGTTGTGTAAATTTCTATTGTAAGAGTCCGCTGTTTCTTTCTTTTGGATCTGCCTCTGATGATGGCAGATGTTGACCCTGTCTGACCTTAGGCAGTCCGTTTGAGACTTCCAGGAATCTACTCTGTGGCTGTCTCCTTCAGCTGTTAATCTAGTCATTCTGCAATCAGCAGTCAGATTTAGGCACCACAGGGTGGGTCAGAGTCCCTCCTGGGGGTAGGGTTATTGGGTCTTCACAAGCTGCCTCTGCTCAGAAGAGTGGTCTGCCTGAGCAAGGTGGCTGCTGCCGTATGGGGGAGGAGTCAGCACCAGGATCTCACCAGCCATTCTCTCTGTTCTCTCCATAAAGCCTCCGTCTCCAGTGTCTCCTCAAGAGTCTCTAGACCACTCTGCGCCCCTGTTAGCCAGGGATCTACTATCTATGGCTGCCACTCCATACTTAGCAGGGCTGAGCCCCTCCTGGGTTGGGGCTACTGTGTCCTCTCACTTTGTTGCCACGCAGGGAAGTGGTCTTCCTGAGCAAGATGGCTGCTGCCGTATGGGGAATGAGTCTGCACCAGGATCCTGCTGGCTACTCCCTCAGTTCTTCCGAAAGCCTCTTTCCCCGGTCTCACTTCCAGAGTTTCTAACCCACTCTGCCCCTACCTTCACCGAAGCCCAGGGTAAGTGGCTGCAAATAAAAATTTATGTGTTGGCCCTTAAATGGCTCTTTGTGTTTCCAGCCACCCATCTCTGGCAGAGAGCAACCCTGCTGCTTTTCGCACCTGGCTGTTGTCTGTGTACTTTTTGGGTTCTGGTGCTGTAGGCTGGAGATCCCTGCTTATGGTTTAGACCCCGCTCTTCTCAGGGGGATCCAACTGGCCGTTTCAATATCCTTCTGGTGCTGCTGCCCATGGGCACCCCACCTGCCTTCTCGAGTCTCTACCACACTCCTTACGAGTTAGGTTGTGCTAAAGCTGATTCTTCTGTCTGTCTGAGGTTATAAGGCTCCTCTCTCACTGTTGTTCAGTTGTTCATTCCAGGTAATTTCTCCACAATTTAGTTGTAATTCCAGATTGGTCCTGGGAGGGGGTCAGTGTGACTTCTACTCACCCCTCCACCATCTTGATTCTCATTCATTCTTTCTTATGCTTGCTCAATCCTATTCTTGAATCTTCTAATATGTTTTTTTTTTATTTCAGCTGTTATACTTTTTAGTTCCAGAATATCTGTTTCATTCCTTTTTATAATTTTTATTTGTGGATATTTTCATTTTGGTTTTGTTGTTTTTCTGGTTTCTTCTGATCCTTTGTTCATGTTTTGCTTTAGCTCTTTGAGTATATTTAAGACATTTGTTCTTTAGTCTCTGTTAGTAATTTCATTATCTGGGCTTCCTCAAGGACAGTTTTTGTCTGTTTATTATGTGTACCTTCTGAAAATCAGATTTCTCCAGGTTTGCTGGATTTTTTTAAAAATTGTTGAAGACCGTTGTTGGTTTGTTTTGAGACTTTTCCAAACTGTTTTTTGCAAAGCCTATTTCTTCTGTGATCATTGAGGTCTCTGTTCCTTTAGCTTGTGTTCAGCAGAAGTTTTACAGAGACTTCCTTGAATGTCAAGAGCTTGATGGGGCGTTTGCTTGGTTATTGTAACACTTTGACTGTTCTCCAAAGTTCAGATGGTGTGTATTCAGATTTCTAAATTTTTCAGTATTTCTGTGGGAGAACATAGCTTGGAGCTTGCTAGTCTGCTGTTTTGCTATTGTCATCCCTGTTGAATTTTTCAGTGTTCACTTCAGATAGGCTGTTAATGAAAGAATATAAATAATACATACTTAGAAATAAAAGATCAGAATGTTTAAAGTAGTTTTAAAGTAATATAAATGAAATAAAAGAGATTCTGAAAATTTCCACATGTGCATTATTATACTCACAAAAGAGAAAAACTTAATTTTTTGCCAGTTGAGATGTATTTTTTTAACCTTAAGATTTCATTTTTGGAAAGATAATCGATATTTTTTTTTATTTTGCCTGAAGAACTGTTTTAGGGAACTATAAGAACTTTAAGAACTAGCATTTAAAGTAACCAAATCGTCCCATTTAATAATAGAAAGCTCCATTTTATTAAATAATATGGTAATTTCACAAACCCTGCTAAAATTATTGATTTAAATATTTTATCAATTCAGTGAAAAACCATTATATGGATGGTTGATAAGAGACTGGACAGGATGTCAATGTAGCACTACATGAATTACTTGGTGGCTACCAGGGGCAAACATAATTGTAAAATGGAGGGATCAGAATCATTGCCCCAATCCACAGGTGAATCTTAGTACATTTGCAGTGATTCAGTAACAAGATGTTTTTGATTTAGCAACTATTTTAGTTATCATCTATACAATATATTCTAGCCAAAAAGGGTTGACTTAAACTCATCACACCTGTAGATAGAACTGTTCAGCTTTGGAGAAATTCAGGGGATAAACCTAACTCAGTGAAGAAACAAGTTAAATAATAGCATGAGGATATAACCACATAAATCCAAAAGGTGGGGCACTGTGCAGAAAAATAACACACTTTAATAAGACAGGGTCATTTTTAAAAAGGAACACTACACTAGACTTACCAAGACAACCAGATGCAGTGTGTAGTCTTGTATTGGATACCTGTTTTGATCAGTTGGGGAAACCTAAATATGGTCTAGAAGTACCCATACTAGCGTATGGGTACTTACTGAAATAGAAAAGGTGAGAATTGACTAAAAATACAGGTTATCAAATTGTACTTTATGGTATGGTTTCATTTTTTATAAAAACAAAAGAAAGGAAAGTGTAGAAAATCTCTGGGAGGATATACACTTAAAATATATGGAAGAATGTGATTAAAATGTTTATGTCTATGCTAATTTTGTATGCTTCTTTTGAAATAAATTATTTCAAATTTAAATTATATAACATGATTATATATAACTCCAATTCTAACATTTTATAAGTTTATGAGCAGTTCCTATAATACATGCAACATTAAAATCTTAAGTTTCTATGAAACTGCAATGTTTTATTCCTTCATTTCTTAGATAGGGAGCCTGGATTTTTTATTTGTATTAAAAACAATTGAAGATTTCTATAAAAGTGAAGATGGGGAAAATCTGGAAATCCTCTGTCCGATTCAAGATCAAGCCTGTGTAGCCAAATTTGAAGATGGAGTTTGGTACCGAGCAAAAGTCATTGGTAGGCAATTGCACACCATTTCTCCAAGGAAATGTTATGCTTAAGAACTGATACCATTTGAGTTGGTACAAATTGAATTTTGGGAATGATATTATTTGATCTTATAATTTTTATCTGTCATCTGTCTAGAAAGCTAGTGATAACATTGGAAAATGAATTTCTGATGCCTTAGATTTCAATTGATTTGACCGGTTCTTTGTTTCCTAATGTCTGCTATATTAAAAAAAATTGAATAGTGCTAAATGATTTATACCCCACTCTCCTCCTAAAAGGCAAATGCTTTTAATTCTTTCAACCAGTTCCCTTTTTTTCCCATCCATTTTTTGGTATTTACCTGTGTTGTTTCTTGTAAATAATATGTAATAGTTTGTTGTTACTTTAGTCTTAGAAGTCATTTATTTTGTTAGATAAGTTTTTGATCTCTTGTAGCTCTTTCATCTCCTCTTTGTCCCCATATTAGTCTGACATTTTTTAGTTAAATAATTATTCTATGTAAATATTTTCACTGGTAAGCCATAAAGTATACTTTGCTTAATTCTGAGCTAATAATTGCATCAAATTTTCACTTTTTCTTTCAATTTATGGCTACATTTTCCAATACTTCAAAACAGTTACCCACATGATTAGATTTCCAGATAATATTACTGTATTTTGCCATGTATAATGAGCATCCATGTTTTTGGCCCAAACATTCAGGAAAAAATCTTTTGTTTTAATTTTTTAATCCATTTTTATTCTTTTATATTTAGATGCTTGTTTTTGTATTATAAAGGAATTTTAACATTTATTTTTGAACATATTATGATACAAAAAATTTTATGTAACAAATAATTACAAAACACAAGAACAGATAACAAGGTATTTCAGGTACTACCCATGTATAATGCACATCTTTATTTTTTCCTCAAAAATTGAACAAAGAACTATACATTATAAATAGCAAAATATGCTACTTTGATTTTTTTTTAACTGTGAAGACATTCTTCTGGAGACTTTGGTCAAGATGGAGGCATAGGTAAACACAGCTCACTTACTTGCACAAAATTACATCTAAACTACAGACCAAAGATCACTCAGACCAGTCAGAAATCAAATTGAATGGAAATCTGACAACAATGGAACTAAAGAAACTGCATCAATCCAGAAGGGCCAGGAGACGCAGAACGGGCATGTCCCATACCCTTGTGTGGTGCATAAAAATATGGGAGGGATATCTTGGGAGTGAGTGGTCTCGGTCCCCTACCGGGTCCTCCAGCCCAGGGTACGAGTGCCAGGAAGAGAAGCCCCAATAATTTCTGGCTGTAAAAACCAGTGGGATTGGAGTCAGTGAAAAAAAATACTGGACTCCCTGACAGTTCCTTTTAAAGGGCCCATGCCGAACTTACTCAGGGGCACTCCCTCTGAGCTCCAGCACCACCAGGGTAGCAGCTTGAAAGCCACCAGTGGCATATCAGGGAAAAATTGAAGTGTCTGGCATCAGGGCAAGAGCTGGGGGACAGCTCAGTGAGTATTTCAGTGGCATAAAAAAAGAGGCATAAATGAAGCATATTCTAATGGAAATGAACAATTTACAGGGAAACAACAGTAGAATGGATAAAGCCAAGAATCAAATCAATGATCTGGAACATAAAGAAACAGAAAACAACCATAAGAAGCCTCTGGGGCAACTTCAAGCAAACCAACAATTCTCATCATAGGGGTGCCAGAAGGAGAAGATAAGGAGAAAGAAATTGGAATACTATTTGAAAAAATAATGAAAGAAAACTTCCCTGATTTGGTGAAGGAAATAGACATGCAAGTCCAGGAAGTAAGCCCAGTGAGTCCCAAAAAAGTTGGATATAAACAGACCCATAAGAAGACACATAATTAAAATTCCAAAGGTTAAGGACAAAGGGAATCTAAAAAGCAGCAAGATAAAAGCAGTTACCTACCTACAGGGACATTCCCATAAAGCTGTCAGCTGATTTCTCCAAAGAAACTTTCGTGCTAGAAGGGATTGGCAAGAAATATTCAAAGTCGTGAAAAGCAGGGACCTACATCCAAGATTGCTTTACCCAGCAAAGCTATCCTTTAGAATCAAAAGGCAGATAAAGAGCTTCCCAGACAAGAAAAAACTGAAGGAGTTAATCATCACCAAACCACGATTATATGAAATGTTAAAGGGACTTATTTAAGAAAAAAGATCAGAACTATGAACAATAAAGTGTCAATAAACATACACCGTTTTATTGCCATTTTATTTAAAAAAAAACAAACTAAACAAGAAGAACAGAGACAGAATCAAGGATATGGAAAGCATTTGACGGTTACTACATAGGAGAAGGTTTGGGGGAATGGGTGAAGAGTTAAGAGGATTAAGAAGTATAAATTGGTAGTAGCAAAATAGACGTGGGGATGTAAAGAACAGCATAGGAAATGGAGTAGCCAAAGAACTTATATGCATGACCCATGGACATGAACAATGGTGTAGGTATTGCCTGAGGGATTAGCAGGTGTTCAGTGGAGGGGGCAAAGGGGGAAAATTGGGACAGCTGTAACAACACAATAAAATACAGTTTTTTTAAAAAAAAATTCTTCTGGTCCAATTCGACTACTCATCCTTGAGACTTACTACACTTTGGTTATTCTGGGAATTTATTTCACATGGTCATTCACTTTATTTTTCTCTTTATGGGATTCCTTGTTTTCTAAATCTCTTGTTTATCTCTTTGGTTTACTCCTTTATTAAATGATAGGTAAATTTTGAAACCTTCCATGTCTCTTGACTCTCCTCTCATGCATGGTTGAAAATTTGGGTAAAAAAATGCTCCTTAAATTCCATCCTTTATGTCTTTGTTTTATTTAAAATGGCCTGAATCTTCATTCAGAGACATGAAGAAGAAACATGCATAAAGGACCCATGGACAAAGACAATGGGGGAGGAAGATTGAATGTGGGAGGTGGGGTGAGGAGGGCGGGGGAGAGTAATGGTGGGGAAAATGGGGACAACTGTGATTAGACAACAATTAAAAAAAGATTTTAAAATAACTTTTAATCTGAATAAATATAGCTTAAAGATCAGAATTTAAAAAGACTTCAGGAATGATAAGGCTTAATGCTGTAATTACAGTTGATACTATCCTTCTAGATGTAGATTCCGGTGGAAGTAGAGAGAGGTTCCCTCACATTCTTACCTCATAAGGACAAGTGTCCTCACAGGCATCTCAATTCCCTACTATAGGGTAACTGACATCTTGAAGTGTCATCTTGAGTAACTGTGTTGTTCCACCTGCTTCCATTTCTATTAAGGAGCAAAGAATGCCTGTACTTTTCCAATCATATGAGTCTGTAAATTTTAAAATGATGGCAACAAGTTTACTAGCACTGTTTACATGTGCTGAAAGAAGCTAATATCAATGGTATATTTTGAGTTTTTATTTTAAAAAGGTCAGCTTGTATTGAAAGTTTATTCAAAACAGTATGTTTGAGTGTTCCAGAGGTTTCTTTGTTATCCTTTAAAATACAGAACTAGACCTGGCCGAGTGACTCGGTTGTAGAATCATCCCATGCACCAAAAGGTTGCAGGTTCAATTCCTTGTCAGGGCACATATTTAGGTTGCTGGTTGGATCCCCTGTCTGAGTGTGTATGGAAGGCAACTAATCGATGTTTCTCTCTCACGTCACTGCTGCTCTTTATCTCTCTGCCTCTCTCCCCTCCCATTCCTCTCTCTAAAAATCAATGAAAACATATTCTCAGGTAAGGATTAAAAAATATATTTCTTTGTGTGTGAGAAACATAGAAATCTATCTCTTTTTGTCTTTTTCACAATATCCCCCAAAATAATTTTTTAAAATTTCATTTAGATATTATTATATGAATAAATCTTTAGTTTGATTATTAAATCTTTTGCCTTGTTTGAATACCCATGTTGAAAAACAACACTAAGTGCTCACTTTGTGGTTGATGCTTTGCAAAATTTTTTAAATAGGTGAATCCTCAAAAGAAAACAATTGTGTAAGATTTGATTTTTTTTTGTATACCCATTTTACAAATAAAATAATGAAGGTTGGAGAGAAAAATGAACTTACTCAGAGTAATATTTTGGCGATATTAGTTATCTTGCTTAGAGTCACATGGCATTCAGTGACTAAGCTAGGGTTCTAACCCAGTCAGTCTTATTCAAATCCTAATTCTTAACTTTTAGGCTTAACCCCAAGCACTTGATAGTTATTTTGTTATCCTGATTTTGGTTGTCCTTTCAGTAACTTGTTAGTTTCTCATTCACCAAATCTGGAAAAACTATGCATTATGGTTGATTTTTTTGAGGTTCACACATTGGAAATACTTCTTACATTTAAAAAAATATTGTTTGTTGAGCATAAAAGTATTCTAACGTAGTTAACTCTAAATCATTCTAAATTTTGCCACATTTTTCTCTTCCCATAATTTTTTAATTTTTCTAATTGCATCATTTTTGAAGGATTGCCTGGACATCGTGAAGTTGAAGTTAAATATGTGGACTTTGGAAATACTGCCAAAATAACACTTAAAGAAATGCGTAAAATAAAGGATGAGTTTCTGAATCCCCCAGAGAAGGTAATCGTCTTACAGTGAATTATAGGGTTAGAATTTTAGTAGCCATACGAAAGTATTTTTAGAAGCCATTTTCACATAGAAATGTTCTGGTAACTGCCATTTTTGTCTATAATTTGTTACATCCACTATAGAAAAAAGTTGCCGTACTTGATATTTAAAAAATAATATATGTCTCTTAGCAAATAAGCATTTATTAGAAAAATATATGTGTATATATATTTGTGTATTTATAAGAACTGGTCTTTAGTTTTTAATGTTATTTTGAAATATCTATATAATGTGGTAAGAGTATGACAGATTATGTGAAACAAAGCTCATTGCAGAAGTACTTTTACTCTGATTCCATTTATGTTTCAGTGTATATAACATGCAAGAGAAAGAGAAATGTCTTGATGAATGAGGAAAACATTTATCCTTCTCCTGGAATCCTCTAAATTGCTATTGAGCAGTATTTTTCATTTTATATATGGGTAGAAAGTTATAGGGGGAAAAACTTGAAAATATAGATAAGCAAAATGCGGGGAATCACTCAATTATTTAATATTTTTTGAGATACATACTTGTAAGATTCATTGTCTGTGTTGTTGTTTGGGGTTTTTTTAAACACTTACGGGATTAGAATACATTATAGTCCTATAACCTGTTTTTCTCATTTAACAATGTAGCATAAAGGTCTGTAATTCTTTTAATGGATGCTTGTTATTCCATTATCTAAGTGTACAATAGTTCATTTAATCAAATACCCTGTTGATTCCAGTTGCTTGCATTTATAAAGTAATGTTGTAGACATCATGCATATTTATTTTCTGAATATGTATTAAATTCAAACACAAAGTTTAGTTTGAACACACTTAACATAAAACTTGAATTCTAAAATAACTAGAGATTAATTTCACTTTCCTAATGGTGCAATTTTGTTTGACACAGGCAATTAAATGTAAGCTGGCCTATATCGAACCATGTAAAGGGACTTTGCAGTGGTCAAAAAAAGCTAAAGAAAAATTTGAAGAAAAAACTCAAGATAAATTTATGACATGTTCAGTCATTAGTAAGCTATTTTCATTTTTATTTTTTGCTCTGTGATCATACATAATTTTAAATAAGAATAACATTCACCAAATCTTATAATAAATTCAGTGTGTCATCAATAAGAGTAGTGCAGATAACTTTTATTGAAATAAGTTAAAGTGGAGTAGTATCGTCTAGCAGGGGTGTCCAACCCACAGGCTGCATGTGGCCCAGAATGGCTATGAATGTGGCTCAACACAAAATAGTAAATTTACTTAAAACCTTTTTTTGCTCATCAGTTTTTGTTAGTGTTTGTGTGTTTGATGCGTGGCCCAAGACAACTCTTCTTCAAGTGTGGCCCAGAGACACCAAAAGGTTGGACACCCCTGTATCTTCAGGTTTTAGTGTCTAGGGTCTTAAATCAGCACACAAGGCAAAAATTACTACTAAATATCAAGTCATCGTTAACATAGCCTCATGCAAGTCCTAAAGTTAGGAATTAGCTTCTCTTATATCTGTTTGCATTTTTGCTAGAATTCTGTCCCTGATTTTGCAGTCACAGATATCAACGTTTAGTTTGCAGGAAAGTAAAGGGAGGTGGGACATAACTGGTAAATAGTTTTTCTTTGTCGTTCCATTTCATTTGACTTACGTGAATTGAACAGTAGGCTCTCAGCATATTTTGAAAAAAGTTACTTCTGTTTCAGAATACTTTGGGTCTGAGACATAGACTGACACTAGCCAACAATTTTGTAACCCAACAAGTTGTGAAAATCAACAGTTTAATGGCAAAACCTGATCTGAATCAACACGTGGGTATATATTAGTACATACACATAGTCCTTGTCTCCTTCACAATGAATAATCACACAGTCAGTCCTCACTTAACATCATCAATAGGTTCTGAGACTTTAAACCAAACTATGTGTAATGAAACCAATATTACTATAAGCTGATTGATGTAAATGAATTAACTTCCTATGACATCTCATCAATACTATAGTAAAATGGCATTATTGGAGGACCTGTGTAAATTCCAGTTCACAATAATGCTTGTTTGTGGGATGGTGCCTCAGAATCTGCTGGGATACTATGCAGTATGAAATTTTCCTCAATTTGTACAATTTTGAAACACATCTGAATCAAAGGGATATGGATAGGGGGATTGGGGATCTGTTACTTATCTGAGGTCTTGATGGGTTACAAAGCTATGATTGATATTGGCTGTGCTGGTTTTAATGAGTATTGTTGCAGGATAAACAAGACTGTGTTTGCTTAGGGTTGATTTAGTGGATTTTAAAGGGTAATTTTTACTTCCATTTTTTCACTTTTATCATATTACCATTAAGTGAACTGAACCATTGAAACAGATTATTAGCCTGTTTTACAGTGAGGAAACTGAAGCTTAGAGATCAAGTATTCCAGGTAACATAACCTAGAAATCATGACATATATGATTACTTATTCATTTTTTAATTTAATTGATTGATTTCTTATTGTATTTTTTCCATTATAATTTATCATCCCCCTATATCCTTTTCCACCTCTGCCCATCCCATTTGCCCCGCAATCACTACCCTGTTTTTCATGTCCATGAGTTTTTTTTCTTTTTGGCTTGATCCTCCATGCCCGCCCAACCCCATCCCCAAATCCATCAGTCTACTTACTCTCTTATGACTGTTTCTGTTTTCATTATTAATTCAGATTGTTCATAGATAACACGTATGAGTGAAATCATATGGTAATTGTCTTTCTCTGACTGGCTTATAACACTTAGCATGATGTTCTCCAGGTCCATCCATGCTGTAGCAAAGGGTAAAGTTTTCTTTTTTATGACCAAGTCATATTCCAAGGTGTAGATGGACCATAGTTGTTTTATCCACTCATCTACTTACAGACACTTGGGCTGCTTCAATATCATGGCTATTGTAAATAATGCTGCAGCGAACACAAAGGTGCATATACAAGGTCTGTCCAGAAAAAGTCCAGCCATTGTTAACATAAGGAGAATAGTTTGCGTGACAATGATGTAACCTGGCAGCCATGCAGAGTGGACTGGAATATATGTGTGAACAATGACAGCCTCACTGTATTAGTCAATGGAGGCAGTAGACACCACCGAGTAAGCATGTATACAGTGTGGCCATCATATTCAAAAACACTAAGTGAGTAATGATCTGCATCAAATTTTGTGTTAAGCTTGAATATTTCTCTGTGGAAACTATCCAGATGATTCTGAAGGTCACAACTATGGGGAACTGGTGATTGGAAGCTTTATCACAACATTCCCGCTCTTGCATCACATCTTGTGCAGAGTTTTTTGGCAAAACATCAAATCACCCAGGTGACTCAGTCCCCTGACAGCCCATGTTTGGTGACCTGTGACTTCTGGCTTTTCCCAAAACTAAAATCACCTTCAAAGGGAAGAGATTTCAGACCTTCGATGAGATTCAGGATAATACAACAGGGCAGCTGGTGGTGATTGGAAGAACTGTGTGAGGTACCAAGGTGCCTACTTTGAAGGGTACTGAGGCATCATTGTCCTATGTGCAATGTTTCCTGTACCTTCTTCAATAAATGACTCTCTTTTTCATGTTATGTGGCTGGATACCTTCTAGACAGACCTCATATTCTTTCAAGCTATTGTGTCAAGTTTCTTTGGATAAATTCCCAGAAGTTGAATCTCTGGGTCATAAAGCAGTTTAATTTTTTAATTTTTTGAGGTAACTGAATACTGCTTTCCACAACAACTGACCAGTCTGCATTATGCCAACAGTGCACAAGGGTTCCACTTTCTCCACATGCTCTCCAACACTTGCTTTTTATTGATTTATTGATGATAGCCATCCTAAAAGGTGTGAGGAGATATCTTATTATGGTTTGTAATGAAGGATAAAAACCACATGATCATATCAATTGATGCAGAAAAAACATTTGATGAAATCTCACAACTATTTACGATAAAAATGTTCAGCCGAGTGGCAATAGAGAGGAAACGTACTCAACATAATATAGGTCATATATTACAAACCTACTGCCAGCATCATACTAAATGGATAAAAACTACAAGATTTCACCTTAAGATTGGGAACAAGACTGGGATGTCTGTTTTTGCCACTCTTCAATATAGTACAGGACTCCTATACATAGCAACCAGACAAGAAGAAGAAATAAAAAGCATCCAAATCAGAAAGAAAGATATAAAACTATAATTACTTGCAGATGACATGATACTGTATGTAGAGGACCCTAAAGGTTCCACCAAAATACTACTAGGACTGATATGTGAGCTCAGTAAAGTAGCAAGATACAAAATTAATATCCAGAAATCAGTTGCATTTTTATATGCCAACAATGAACTATCAGAAGGGGAAATTATGAAAACAGTCCCATTCATAATCACATCAAAAGGAATAAAATACCTAGGAATAAATTTAACCAAGAATATAAAAGGCCTGTATTTGAAAATAAGACACTGCAAAAAGAAATTGAAGATACAAATTAAGTGGAAGGAAATCGATACTGTGTTCATGGATAGGAAGAATTAACATCATTAAAGTGTCCATACTACCCAAAGCAATCCATAGATTCAACATAAGTCCTATCAAGATACCAAAAATGTATTTCACAGAATTAGAACAAATATTCCAAAAATTTATATGGAACCACAAAAGACCCCAAAGCAACAGCAATCTTGAGAGAGACTAATGTAGTTGGAGGAATCACATGGTCTAATATCAAACTATACAACAAGGATGTATTAACCAGAATAACATGGTACTGGCATAAACACAGATATATAGATCAGTGGAACAAAATAAAGAACCTAGGAATAAAACCACACCTTTATAGTCAATAGAGGTAGTTTATTCAATAAATGGTTTTGGGAAAATGAGACAGATACAAGCCAAACAATGGAACTAGCCCACTGTCTTACACCACACACAAGAATAAACTCAAAAGGATTAAAAACTTTAATTTTAGACTCAAAACCATAAAAATCCTAGAAGAAAACATAGATAATAAAATAACAGACATTTCTTGTAGCAATTTTATATATATATCTTCTCAGGCCATAAAAACAAAAGAAAAAAATGGTACATCAAATTAAAAGGGTTTTTGTACAGCAAAGGAAATCATCCACAAAATTAAAAGACAACCCACTGAATGGAAGAACATATTTGATGATACATCTGATAAGGGGTTAATGTCCAAAATTTATAAAGAACTTACAAAACTCAACACCAAAAAAAAAATCCAATTAAAATGGTAAAGGACCTAAATAGACACCTCTCAAAAGAAGACATGCATATGGCCAGTAGGGGTGGAATGATGCTCAGCATCACTAATTATCAGAGAAATGCAAATTAAAGCCAGATTTATTCACTTTGATATAAGAAATTGTTTTGAACAAATAGTTCTGTTGTCATCCAAGATGGCGGCAGAGTAGCTGGAAGCTACACTATCCTCATTCAGGACAAAACTGGACTTACTACTTAATTATAGGAAAATAATCCTGAATAACCAACTGAAGGCTAGATGGAGAGAAGCCTTACAGAAGAAATCATGCCATCATACCTGGACTGGTAGGAAGTGTGGAGATGGCAAGAGGGCTGGCTGGGCTCCCAAGGGCTACAGTTGAAGTTCGGAGGGATACATCAATGGGCCTGAGGTATCCCTCTGAAAAATGTGGATTTTAAACCACAATCCAGGCTCCCCAGCCTAAAGCTGCAGAACCAGGAAAGGCAGCCACATAGCAGCCAGCTGGGAAAGCAGCAGTGTTTCTGTCCACCAGGGAGAACTGTCTAGAAACACAGTCATGTTCTTAAAGAGCCAGTGCACAAAATTTCATTATCAGCCACTTACCCAGAGGGAAGGCAGAGCAGAGTAGAGCTGTGTGAGGAGAGTCTGGAGTTGGTGTCTTTGGGGTGATAGCTGAAGGGTCAGCCACCAGGGTCCCTGTGCTCAACCATTCCCCATACTGCAGAAGCCATGATTCTTGGCCACAGAAATCCTCTCAATACAGCCTCAGCCTGAGGG